TCATGGCCTGTGAATCACCTTGTCAGTACAGCTAGGACTGGGTGGCCATGACAGCACCCACTGACCACAGAAAAGGAAACCCTAAAGACACTACTGCCTTGGAGAAGAGAGTAAAAGGCAGAAGGTTGCACCCAGAAGTTTCTTGTTTACCAGCTGAACTCAGCACTAATTATCAGCCTCCTTGGAGAATTACTCATTAGGCTCAATCCATTGAAACTCATAACTTCAAGGAGAGCACTGCATTGCTAAAGGATTCATATTTTTCTACCAATAACAGTGGAAGACTCATATAGCATGATGAGGAAAAACACCCAGCACTACTGGGTGAAGGTCATCACCGCTTCTATTGTACAGCAGAAATAAAAACACAAGCTGCAGCTCTGCACAGTTACGTGCTCTTCAAAGAGCTCTTCCCCTGCACCTCATTCAGAGCCTGTCCCACCCTGCTGCAGTAATTTGTAACTATGGGCTTCTGGCCGAGTTTCCTTCTCAGTCATGTAATATCCTTTTCTTTTGTGGGCCATTTTCAGATTTTCAAAGGAAAAGTTTGTGTTCTGCTTCACTATCCAATAACCTATGAATGTAGAAATGTCCCTGATTTTGATGTGGCTTATTAACAGAATTTTTAATGCTAAAGGATGTTTATCAGCTAGCGACACACTGACTGAGAGTATCAGCACTGTGGTCCCACAAATTTAAATCTTTTCTGTGTGCTGGAGAAATGTTCCTGGGTAATAGCAGTAGGATTTTCCTTTCTGCTGGCAACTGAGCAACCTTTTCTGGAGGAAGATGAAGTTTGGCCCCAGCAACTAGCTTCTCAGAGCTTGGGAAGCAGCTGCCTCTTGGTATTGATGTGGTTACATATGATGTTGACAATCTTGAATGAGAGAATACTCAGTAATGTCAAGGCTGCTGTATGCTACAACTTGCAGAAAAACCCAAATGCTTTCCTACCTTTCCTTAGACACCCTGTTGAAGACAGCCAGGCGTCCCCCGGCACCCACTTCCAGCACAGGTCCTGACTTCCACTCTCTTTGCAGTGTTGTGCCTGAGACACTGGCTGTTTTTAGATAAGCTCATTCCACAAAATAAATCCAGACTCTTCTGGTGCAGGGAGCAGATTTTGCAGCTGACAGATGTACCTGCCAGCTCCCAGTACCTGGAGCTCTGAAGATCATTTAACTGAAGCTTAATTCAGTTTTACCCACTTTTGCAAGCATTATTTTTTATAACATCAGCTAAAAGTTCAGTGTCAGGAGAAGAAACTTTTTGCCTCTGCAGGAGAATATCCAGCATTTCATGGAGGAACAGATTTGACAATATAATACTGGAAAGTCAACACCTAATTAGACAGTCATTCTGTCAACACCTAATCAGACAGTCATTCTGAACTGATGTTGCCATTTGTAAAGTTTTATTCTGAGAGCCTGTCAGACAGAGGAGAACTGCTGTGGGTGGTGGAGTGGGGGCTGAATGTAGTTATTTAAAAAAAATTAATCCTGTGTCTTCTTAATAAGTGAGGAGGCAGCTTGTTGAAGAAGGGAAGCCTTTTCAAGCCCCAAAGGTAACATTTTTGCACAGAGAGTACAATTTTGCACCATCTTTCTTCCATAATTTGTTTCTATATAGAAAAGATACAAAATCTTCTTCATGGGGATTTTATCTTCTGATGGGATGGGTTGACCTTGGCTGGACACCAGGTGTCCAACAGAGCGGTTCTATCACTCTCCTCCTCAACCACACAGTGGAAAGAAAATACAATGACTAAAAGCTCATGGGTTGAAATAAGACAGGTAAAGAAGACTCACCAATTACCATCATGAGCAAAAGTGACCCAGCTTGGGAAAATTAGCTTATTACCAATCAAATCAGAGGAAGATAATGGGTAGTAAAACCTAAATATTAAAACCCCTTTCCCCACCCCTCTCTTCTTCTGGGCTTAACTTTACAGGGAATGGGGGCTGCAGTCAGTTCATCACACATTTTCTCTTCTGCTCCTTCGTTCTTAGGGGGACTACTCCTCATGTTCTTCCCCTGCTCTGGTGTGGGGGCCCTCCCACAGGCTCCAGTTCTTCACAAACTGCTCTTGTGCATGTCTCCTGCAGGGTCTCAAGTCCTGCCAGCATACCTGCTCCAGTGTGGCTTCTTCTCTCCACAGGTCTTGCAAGGAGCCTGTTTCCAGTGTGAGCTTCCCAAAGGGTCACAGCCTGATTTTAGCATCCACTTGCTCTGGTGTGGGGTCCTTCAGAGGGCAAAAGTTGATACCTGCTACACCATGGACCACCATGGGCTGAAAGGACACACCTTGCCTCACCATGGTGTTCTTCACAGGCTGCAGGGAATCTCTGCCCTGGCACCTGGAGCACCTCCTCCCCTCCTTCTTCAACTGACCATGGTGTCTGGAGAGCTGTTTCTCTCATATACTCTCACTCCTCTCTCTGGCTGCAATTGCTGTTGCAGTTTTTCCTTCCCTTTTTAAATGTGTTATCACAGTGGCTGATGGGCTCGGCCTTGACCAGCAGCAAGTCCAGCCTGGATCTAGCTAGAGATGGCTCTGTCAGACATAGGGGAAGTTTCAGGCAGCATCTCACAGAAGACACCCCTGTAGCCTCCTCACTACCCAAACCTTGCTACAAAAACCCAACACACCTGACTATTAAACGTATAAAGGCGACTGGCAGACATTAAAACAAGGCAACTCCCTGTCAATAAATTAGCATGCCTGTGTTTACAGGAAGACATAAGCTGTTATTTATATTGCATTTACATATTTAATTTTCTTTATGAATAAAAGCTTTATGCCTCCCTTTGAGCATCCCCTTGCAGCCTTTGATTACAATAGCTACAACTAAACTATTACTCCAAATTAGCCTGGCATTCAGTGTGCATTTGTATTACTCACTTGATTTTTATTGTTTTTTAGTTATTATTTTTCCTCTTGGTTCATTCATCAATCATATTTACAAACCCATTGTTGTACTTACTGCCAGTTGAGTGTTCTCACACATTTCAGCACACAGAGAAACTGCAAACTAGGGCAGCTCTATTAGGATCTCTAATATTTCTGAGGAGTCTGAAGGTGCTGACAGCTTATGGTCTTTCCAAGGCAAGTGCAAGTGCAATTACTGGAAGGGGTAAAATGACACCGCACGCTTTTCCTCTGAGAAGGAATCCTCTCCCCAGAGGTTAGAAATGGGGAACAAAAATCAAACTACATTTGGAGATCTGAGGACTGATACTCATTTGAACTTCCGAATAATCATCTGTGCCACACTGGCTGCTTTTGCAAAGAGAGCTTATTTTGAAGCCGAGTTGATTACCTTCCTTATTGTTCTGCCAGGCAATTTAAATTACATGACACTTCAAGACCTAACTCTGAAGTTCTGTCATCTCACAACACTCAGTGAGAGCAGTGGAAGCAGTGGAAGGATGGCAGAAGCAGGCCTCTATTTTGCTTGGGTTATATACATTTTTACTTTTTGTCCTCACTCAGTTTTTCTCTTCTTTACACCAACTTTGTATAGTAAGCACTTCAGAGTGGAGAGTATCAAGAGAGAATTTATTCTTCGGGACTGCAGAAAACGGTGTCTCTCAGGGCTACAGAAAATGGGAAGTAGTTCCAAGAATCCAATCTGGCATATTGTCACCACAGCCCTGTTTGCATACAAGTCCATTGTCAACTGAAGGAACTGGAAAATTATGGCTATTTATCCATTCTGCTCTTTACCCCCCGTTGTGCCTCTTTTGGCAAAGCAGCTGAAGAGTTTGCATTGTTTCAAATTTAATGCTTGCAGATGGTTTTTATTTAGAACTTGTTTTATTGGTGAGACATGCTTCCTCTGTTTATTAAATTGTGCCTACTTTTTGTCATCCGTCATGTTGCCCGCAATTTCTGCGCAGAGCTCGAGGGTAGGGTTTGTTGTTACTGTTGCTGTTGGGTAGGTTACTTTTTTGCGGGGGTAATCTGAAATATGATCGAGCTCCGAGCGCCGGGGAAACAGCGGGTATTCTCATTCACTTTTTCCCGCGGAGGAGCATGAGGCTCCCGACGGGCGGGCGGAGGCGCGGGGTGCTGCCGGGGGAACAGGCGCCCGCCCCGGGGCAACTCCGCCTCTGGCCCCGGCCGCCGGGGGAGCCCCGGGGCAGGGCGGCGGGCGGGGGTCAGGTCCGGCCGCCGCGGCCCGGAGGCGGGCGGCCCCGAGGGCGCGGGCGGGCGGCCGGGCGCCGCTCCGCGGGGCGCCGCGGCGGCTGCCGGGCGGCGGCAGGTGGTGGCCGCGGCGGCGCCCGGGGGCAGCCCGGCGGCTCGGCCGGGACGGGCCCCCTCGGCCGGCGGCTCCCCCCGCGCGGTGCCCGCGGGCCGCCCGGGCGGGTTCTCTCCTCCGGAGCCCCCCCGAGCCCCGGCCGGCCGCGGGCGCTGATCGCCGGCGGCTCCGCGCGGAACTCGCAAGCTCCGGAGCAGGAGGTGGGAACGGCGGCCGGTTTGGGTTTGCTCGGCTTCTTCTGCGTTTGTTTTTTGGTGTTTTTTCTCCCCGTAGCTGTATGCGGCTTTTGGGGTTTGTTTTTTATTATTTTTTCCCCTTCTCTTTTCCCACCGCGGGTATTTGGAAGGAAAGCGGGAATGCCGCGGGGGAGAGCCTCGGCAGGCCAGGCCGGGCCGGGCCGGGCGGGCCGGCGGCGCCTCCCCCCGGTTCGGGGGGTCCCCGGGCTCGGCCCCCGAACGCCCCTCTCTTCCGTTCTCCATGTCATTTCCTGTGCTAATAAGATGGTGGTCACGGCCGGGAGGGAGGGAGCCGCCGCTGCCGCCTCCGCCGAGCCCGGCCCGGCCCCGGGACCCGTCCTCGCCTGGGACTAGCCGGCGGGGCCGGCGGGGTGGGAGGGCGCAGCCAGCCGGGCTCCCCCCGCCCCTCCCGGGCGGAGCGGGCCCCCCGACGCCGAGGCGGGCTCCCCGCGCCCGCAGTGCCGAGGTGAGTCAGCCTCGCTGGTAGCCAAGGTGGCCACGAAAATGGCTGCGGAGCGCGGGGGGGAAGCCCGTCCCAGCCCGGGGGGGAGGTCCGGCCGAAGGGTGCCCGCCGCGGGTGGGGCGGCGGCGAAGACCCGCGGGCACAGGTATCTCCCCCCTTCCCCGCCCGCCCCGCGTTTCCCCGCTCGGGGCGGGCTGCTCGGGGCCCAGCCCGTCCCCGCCGCTCCCGCCGCGCCTCTCCCGCCCGCGCCGCGGCTGCGCCCGCCCGGCCCCCCCGCCCCGCCCGCGGCCGCCGGCGGGGCCGGCGAATGACGCGGCCGGCGGCCAATGGGCGGCGGGGGCGGGCGGGCGCGCGCCACATTGGAACGCGGAGGCGGGGCGGCGCGGGGCGCTCC